ACAATAACAACAACATCAATAACAACAACTACTACTACTACTACTACTACTACTACTACTACTACTATTACTACTACTACTACTACTACTACTACTACTACTACTACTACTACTACTACTACTACTACTACTACTACAAAAGTGATGTTTTTAATGCTTGCGATTTTCAACACTTCCTGGTCACTTGTCAATAATGGCGTAAAATATTTCACAATTAATTAATGTTCCCCAGTGTCCACTACAGCAACTGCGACGGCAGGTGGCGCTGCTGGGACAAGCACAAGAAGATCTTGACCAAACTGACCAATGACATCTACACAGAGTATCCACACCACGCCTTCACGAAAGAGGTGTAAGCTACGACCTACTGCTCCTGGTTTGGTCGAGGTCGAGGATGTTAGAAAAACAAAACGCCAGCAGAAAAATCTGTTGATTCGGAAAAAATGTATTGACTAAATATTTAATCTGTTGTTCTCTTTTTTTTTCTTTTTTTTTTTTTATTCATCTATGTGTTTGCTTTTTTGTTTGTTTGTCTAATAAAAGGCAGCTTGCACCGTATGCTTTGATTCCTGGCTTGGCAATATTCGTTGATGTAATCATGATGTCCCAAGTGTAATCTAGATTGGTCGTTTGCCTTTTTGTATTGAAGTTACAGTAACTCCGGAACCCAGACACATTCTCAGTTTCCAGGGAAGCATACAGTGCCAGCAGCTGATTAAGCGCTCAAAAACTATCCAACTGAAAGGTCTTTCACTGTCTATTGTTGGATACCCATTCCCACATGGGCAAAGAGAGACAAATTCCTGTAGAGTGTCTTTGCCAAGGACAAAACGTCAGGTCCCTGACGGTTGCGAGTCGGACAGCCCAATCACTAGTCTTATCTAGAGCTACCTTTTATTTAACCTCACAGTGTTGAAAGGGACGTTATGCCTGTACAAGGACCAATGGCCAAGAATATTCAAAACCAGGGGGCTCACGTGGTCAAGAGGTTACCGTGTTCGCCTCTCATTCAGTAGGTCCCGAGTTCGAAACCTGAAAGCTGCGGAAAATTTTCTTCTCTAAAATGTTCTCATTTCACCTCCTTTCCCGCTCTCAAACCATGTTCTGTCGGCTTTCGTCTCCACATTTTGCCTCTAACCCCTCCCACTTTTGCCCCCTTCTCTGGGCTCCTGACTCTTTCGGCAGCCTTTCTGCTGCTACTCCTTTGCTCCTTCTTACTCTTGTCTTTCAGCCACACCTTTGATCTTACGGTAGGTAAGATCTAACACCTAGCCTTTTCGGGAAAGGGCAAAAATTATCGGGGGTCCCGTGTGCATGTTGAGCATATTAAAGATCCTTTGATGGTCTATAAATCGATAAGAGTAGGCTTCGGCCGCCACCCGGGCAAGTTCAAAATGTCTACTAAACTGAAAATGTTTACTGTGTCCCGTGCGTTCATATAGCCGTATGCAGTTGCAAGCGCCGTAAAACACTTACCAAAACAAACAAAGAAAAGACCGGCGTCTCTGATGAAGCGATTAGAGCTTCGGTATCGTTCACAGGAGACCGGAGTTTAAATCTTATGTGAGAAAAATTCTTATCGAGTATTTGGGCTCTTTGTGCTGGGATGTTATAAACCTTTCAGTCCGTGTAGGCCACGACAAGCAAGGTCCAAGCCTGTCTCTTAAATGACCTAAATTGTGTTGGTGGGGAAGCATAAAACACACACACACACGTACCCACGCACACACATACTCACGCACTCACAAGCATGCCATGTGTACACACACTCTTCCCTTACACATTGTCTCTTCCACACATATCTGTGAACATAACCATAATAATGTGATAGTATGCTTGCATTCACAAGCAGGTTCACAGTCATATGCATTAATAATATTGTTAGGCTAGATACGTACTCAATATTTTTTAAGTGTTATATTGATGGAATCAGGAGTAAGTCAAGTTTTAGGAATATGGAGTTGTGGGTATCATATTAAAGCGTGTTCATTTGTCGTGCTTTTGATGGGGAAAATACCCGCCATTAATCTTGGATAGAAGTCGAGATATCTTCGATTGGAGTAGGTGAGGGTCGCCTGTTTTCAGTGGTCAAATTAGCGAGAAAACAGCCGTCCTTGGAAACTGCAATTCTTTTTTTTTTTTTTTTTTTTTGTGCGTATTATCAGTTTTTTTCAGTACATTCAGAAGAATAGTTTTTCTAATGGACATAAAAGGTGCAGAGACAAAATAAAATTCCCAACAGACTAGAAAATGTCGGTTTCTTCTATTTCATTATTTTTGATGAGCGCCTGATTCCACAGCATCATCATCACCATTGCCTTTCTCTCCCTCTATCGCGGTATAGGCCACGAACAAACACTTTCCACCTTTCCCTATCCTGGGCTAGCCGCTTTATATTATTCCAAGTCTTCCTACTTTTCTGTTCATCAATTTCTGTGGCTCTTCTCCAGGTTCCACGCTGTCGCCACCTTGATGTTTTACCATGTGGGTTCCAATCCAACACTTTCCTTGTTATGCAGTTGCTTCACTCCCTCAGAGAATGTCCAATCCATCGGCACCGCCTTCTTTCCTCCTCATGTCTGACTGGGCTCTGTCTTGTTCTCCTTAATACTTCCTCATTCATGGTGACGCTATCTGCCCATTTGATCTTCAGTAACTCCCTTAGATATTTGTTTAAGAAAACCTGGATCCTCTTTATGAAAGTATCTGATGCGTTCTTCAGCGTCGAGCCACAAAGGTTGTGTTGTGGAAGAAAACTTATATCCCCCAAAAGTGTACTGAAAGACCTTTCATCTTTTAGGGGAAGAGTTTATGAATCCGTTACAATGTTGTCAACCTGGTGTGATATCGCCTCCTAGTGGTCGATTTGGTAACTTTGCTAGGCGGTGGCGATCACCCGCATAGTGACAGATATTATTTAATTTTTCACTTGGAGATACGTGTAGGTGAGGGTTACAAAAAATGTATCCTATTGAAGGTGGCAAAAAAATGGGCACTGTCAATAAAAGGGTTGACACGCTCTGATCTATATTATCATGCATAACACTTGTTGGCTGTCTAAGTCTACACTCCTCTTTTTCTAGGAGAGAAGAGGTGGAAAAATCTTCCTAAAAGTAATAAAACATTGCATTTCTCGTCACAGAGTATTAAGATCGGGTAACAATGCCTTACTTCTCCATTAAACATGATTCTGGCACACAAAATCGTCATGGATTTTGCTAGAGTATTTAATTATAGCAACAATCAGGCACAAATACTCCCAATGCAGGCACTGTTCTTCTTGAAATGACGGTATTAGAATCTTTGCCACACCTTTCCCATAGTTTGGGATATAACGATTATCAACAAGATAATTAAAGTGTTGGATAAGTAAATATCTAAAAGCAGTCTTCAGAGGCAAATCAAAAAATGATTGATACAAATTGCAAACAAAAACATTTCGTACATGGACCATGTTGTAATCTTGCATCGGTATTCTGATCTAATGACTGAAGATGGTATACAATCTGTCACGGCTATTGATTTAGCACCTGGAAGTGAAAGAGTAAAATGAGCAACGTCGACGCCGTCTTTATAGCGAGATCACATATCGGCCGCTGATAGATGCATAAACGTTTCTAAGCAAATATCAAATGGAGAATTCTGTTCTCTATTCCAGACTGTGTTGCCATTTAATTGAACTTTTTAATATTGGTGAGCAATCTTTTCGTTCACGAGTATCTTGAGTAGTTTGCTCTGCACTACCTCTCCATTAACATAACTCTGGACAGCAAAATCGTTTTGAACTTTGCGAATTGTTAAAGCCGTTACCTCTTGGGTGTAAACATCATCCGAAGTTTCACTCTAAACTACGACACAGGTAATTGTTTCATGGATTTTACTAAATGTTTTTTTACATTAGCAAACACTCTTATACCATCGCGGTCTGTTTCTTCCTCGCAACACCATTCTTCAACTTAATTGTTTGCAAAGTTGCTTAAATCCCACAATTTGGAAACTAGTCTTGCCTGTCTAAACTTTTTTAAAAATTTATAAACCTCAAGTGAACAGTTACGAAAACCACGACCTTCATCTCTACCGTTTAAACAGATTCTTTGTGGATGAATGAGAATGCGCTAACAAGAATACTGTTTGTTTTTTTACACTTATACTCGTATGACCAATCTGTGTTGCATAATTTGTCGTAAAACTCTTACTTAGACTAAAAGAGTTCGGTCTGAACGTCCCCTGTGCGCGGGAACCGTTCAGCACTGCCACAGGAGTATGATCTGATCAGTCTACACGGCATGATGAATTCTTCTGTCTGTTCTGTTGTTTTTCTAGGCGCTGTGATGCCGTGTGTGACTGACGTCACGATCCCACGACCAGACCCAGAAGAGGAAGCTAGTCGTGGTGGTCTCATAAGTAACAAGCAGTTAACAGAGGCCTCGGTGATCTACAATGTTCTGATTGGGAGCTTTGAGATCACCGGCTTTATTTTTAACACATTCAATTTGATCGTGTTTGTTCAAATGGGTGTGAGTGACCCAGTGAATGTGTGCTTCTTCGCCCTGGCGGTATCAGACCATTGTCTTTTGACCACTGGTCTTCTTGTTCTCATGGTGTATAACGATATTGGCTCAATGCTCAAGAATTTGTCTGTAAACTCTTTGCACATGACAATGATACTTCTGTTCTACGCTCACATGTTTCTGGACATTTCTATTCTAAACTCAACATTCATTAGTCTTCAGAGGTGCTGTTGTGTTGCATGGCCACTGAAATTCAAATCTGTGTTCACAACTAAGCGAAGTCTGCTGATTATTGTTTGCATTCATCTCTACGGTTTGGCGTCGTACTTTCCACTTTTTCTGAAGCAGACTTTACACTCAGCCCCAGACCCTTTGAGCAATTCTACAACCTGGATTATAACCTTCTCCAAAGAAAGATCTCGACTCGTTTCCGTGATCGACATCCTCAACCAAGCTGCCCTCTGTATCATCACGCAAGTCGTCGTCCTCACCTGTCTAGGCGTCCTCACGAATTCTCTGAGATCTGCGTCAAAGTTCCGAAAATCCGCCAGTAGCGAAATATCCGAATCCAAGGCTAACAACAGGAAAGAAGACCAAGTTGTGAAGACGGTAACACTTCTTTGCTTTGTCTTCGTTGTGACAAACACCCCTGCGGTAATTCTGGCTCTGACTCGAATCTTTGTTCCAGAATTTGACACGTACAAAAGATTCAACAACCTTTACTTTATCCTTCACAACACTAATGACTTATTCGAGTACTCCAGCGCGGTCCTCAATTTCCTCGTGTACCTCAGTACCAGCACAAGGTTCAGGAAAACGTTTAGGGCGCTGCTACATCTGGACAACAAACACGAGAAATAGAATACGGAAAGAAACGTGAAAGAGAAAATTCTGACATACGAAAAATAACGATAAAGAAAACATTGTAACTTTGTTTGCAAAGGGAAGTACCACAGAAAGAAATATGAAAAGAAAAAATAAAGAGAAAACAATATAAATTTGTAACAAGATAAAGTGTCTCAGAATGACACACATTGTGTAAATAATAAATACACACATGATTACGACTTTTAACTATGACAATTAAACTTGGTCAATTGCTGAGCAGCAGATTACTGCTCTATGTCAAACCACGATAAAAATCTGCTTTAAAGAATCGGCCAAGAGACATAGCTGGATTACAACTGATGTCAATTATACTGTCTCTTTCTGTCATTGTTTTTCACAAATAAAAACCCACGCATTTGATGTCTGTGGCTTTGATTTAAAAAGTGCTGGTTAATGCTATAATAAGATGTTTTGCCGCAAGAATTAATTGTGAGGCAGCATGGTGAAATCAGGCGTTCGTTAAAATAACGAAATCGGGAAGCGTTTTTCCGCCAGTTTGGGAAATTTTTATCGATTTTTTATTTTTTGGCTCTACCCATTTACGTTCATATAAAAACAAATTTCCATGTTAATTTTACTTTAAAACGTTGATTAATGTCACAAAATATGTAAATTGTTATTTTTCAAAGACTCTCAAGGACTCTTAAGGTATAGAAGTTTCCAAACTTTGGCAGCCATTTTCTCTCTAATTTTACCTCTGAAACCAGGCTGTCCCCACCTCCTTCAATTGCAAATATCTCGGTCTCAGTCCCAGATAGATGCGGATTATTTTTCATAGAAAGCAAGGAAAATGAATAAGCTTTCACTTTTAAGAATTGACGAGGGCCTGATTCTATTACGTCTTGACACAGTTGTGCTCAAACTTGTGAACAAGTGTCAGTGTGGTACTTGGGTGGCACTTCTGAATTGAGAAGTTACTTTATAGTAATCTTTGTAACAACCACATTCAGCCAACGACACAGATAATTGTATGCTGAGAGTAAACAACGATGGTTTTATTTTGTTTTTTGTTTGTTTTTTGTGTATGTTTGTATGTGCTTGTGCGTGTGCGTGTGTGTCTGCATATGTGTGTGTGTTCGTAGGTCATGTGTGTATATGTTTGTGTGTTTTTGTATGTCATGTGTGTGTGAGTATATGTGTGTGTGTTTGTATGTAACATGACATTGTGTATGCGTGTATGTGTGTGTATTTATATGCCATGTGTGTATGGGTGTGTATGTATGTATGTGTGTATGAGTGTGTGTATATGTGTGTATATCTGTATGAGTGTGTGTGTGTATGTGTGTACGTGTGTGTGTGTGTGTATTTGTGTGTATGTATGTGTGTGTGTGTTCAACAGTGGTCGCACGCCGAAGAGCCGACTGGGGATTTTTTTTCTTTTTCTTTTTTTTTTATAGTAGAGGGTTTTACGGCGCTCGCAACTGCATAAGGTCATATGAGCGCCAAGGGGTGGGTGTCAACAGAGAAGTCTTTACAGGGAATCAGTCTTAGGCCGGTCCCAGAGTGACTATGTAGGTCTGACCTGTAGCTCGCCTGGCTCGCACCGTGCAAATGAATGTATATATTATCGTGTGCTTAAGCAGTGTCGCTGTGTCGTCTGGTTTTTTTGTCAGCTGAGCTGCGCGATGCGTCAAACGTGCTATTCAACAGTGTTGTAAAAATGGCGGACATGTGTCGCCTCGCTTCGTGTTTATTTTCGACTGAAACTCTTCACAGATCATCAAAATCAACAAGAAGTAAGTCTTATTAGGTGCT